AAAGCTACTCACCCCATGATGTACAGTTCATGATTAATAGATTCATACATCATGCATAGTCTAACACTTAGCTATAGCTATACTTACTCAATTCTCCCCAAGTTCCTTGCATATGCAAAGCCTCAGTTGGCTTTGCGTAAAAGATTTCTTTGTCCTTCAGAATTTGATTTCTCTTAGTTTCATCTGGTCAAAAATAAAATAGTCAATAAATTCAATTATAGCTTACTCATTTCTTGCAGGACTTTTTCTCCGGCATCATTAAAACTCAAGGTCCAATTTACTTCAACTGGGTCTAAAATTAATAATAATAATAATAATAATAATAATAATAAGAATAAAAAAAAATAATAATAATAATGATAATAATAATAATAATGATAATAATAATAATAATAATAATAATAATAAGGTATGGTAGGGAGAGAAGCAAATGCCTTCTTGAAGAGATTGGGAGAAAGGCTATCAATGAAATGGGCGAGGCACTACAGTGAAGTTATCAACTGGATCAGGACTCGGTTAACATTTGCCATCATTCGAGCCTCTATACTCTGTCTCCGTAGCTCCAGGACAAAATGGAGATATGTTGATACCTGTGACGGAGCCCCTTTGGACCTTATAATGACTTAAATCCATAATTTAACTTCATCCTTATTAAATTATTATTATTTTTTAAAAAATCTCTATTAACCTAATTATTTTTATTTCATTTTTCATCCTGCCCTAACTTTGTCCTAATTCTAACTTTTGTTAATAATAATAATAATAATAATAATAATAATAATAATAAGGAAAGAAGAAAGAGTCAGACCTGCCCATCCACATCGGGTGGAAGGATAGGGGAGCGGCTCAACCACATGTGAGCATTAGCGCGCCACAGTGCAACCGAAAGTCTCTGGAAAAGATGTAGGGACACCTCCAGCTGATCTAGCCCCCGGCGAGAAGCTAGATGACCACTGATGGTGCGGAGCACAGATTTTTATTTTTTCCTCATAGGGCCTTCCCTCTCCTTTCCCTTTTTTGTTTTTCTCTATTATTAGCTCTAATTAGTTCTTGTTTTTGGGTTTATAATAATAATAATAATAATAATAATAATAATAATAATAATAATAAATAATTAATGATAATAATTGTACTCTTATTTTTGTTTTATGTTCAACCTTGGAGGCTCATGTCTATATACTTAAAGCATAATATTAATGAGCTGGTGGAACCGAAGTCAGTAAATTACCCCAGCAGTATGTCTAATAATTATACATGGCTGACTTTGGAATGCATTTGATTGGTAACTTCAGTTATTTAGAATCTGGGGGAGCAAAGGGGCAAGATCCCCCCTACTTTTGATGCAGCAATTGCCCGTATATTTATGAGACATTTTAAGATTTTTGATTTTTTAAATTTATCATTGAAATTAGAGGCAGTGTCCTATAATAAAAACCATCTCGTAATACCAGAAGATATGCATCATATAATTGAAGTTATGCATTGTTTCAAAAGTGGGTCCCTTCAGTGATTTTAGATTGGTGCCCTACTTTTAGATTGTGCCTGTCTCAACCCCTCAGCTTATCAATCTTTGCAACCTGTAACTTTCTTTCTCCAGTCAGTATATGATGACATTTGGAGCACGTTAGAGCAATGGCAAACTTATGAAGAATATTCATTAATCTTTCAGTGCTGCTAGTCGAGTAGTGCATAGATACAAGTAGTGCTAATTAAAAATGGCGGCGGTGCCGCTCGATGATAGACGGACATCGTGATTACTTTTTCTGCTAGCCGATCACCCCATGATGCTGGTACAATGATTAATATGTTCATACACAGTGCATTTTGGCAATGTAGTAGCTGAGGGATATGTGCCTGTGCATGATTTAGGCTGGTTTCAGATAAATCAGTGAACTGTGCTGACTAGACATAAGTGATAAACTTACCAAAGACTTGTTTTCTTGTACAATTTAAATCAAAGATTTTACTTACCCCATTGAAGGGGTAGCACTGATAAGCAGGCAGTTCCAAAGTAAAATTGTATAGCCCTAAATAATAAAAATGACAGTTTTGTACTTTTGCTCATGGTTTTCACTTGGGCAGGCACAATTTGAAGCATGTCTACTTAAAACATCACTCATGGGATTGTCTATTAAGTAGACACTCTCATCCACTCTTAGTTTTTACTTACCCATTTTTTTGTAACCAGATCTGCTTGCTTTTAATTAATATCGGAGAAGTAAAAAGCATGCGGGCAGATTTATTTTAATTAAAGCGCACCTGGCTTGCGTTGTTAGGTCAGGAGTCCATAGCAGTTTTTTTCGTTAGTTGATTTCATTTCAAACTTTGAACAGCTGAAATGTGCATTGTCCTGTTACTTACTGGATAATAATGGTTGCGGGGGTACCCTCAATGATCTAATTGAGCTACTGAACTACACTGCAGCCATCATGTGCTGCAGCCGGCCCCGGGCCAAGTCTAGCTGGCGCTAGCGGGGTTCAGTCTGCATGGAAAGATGTACCGTAGCTATGATGGCTGGACTTCCACTGATCTGGCCCGCTTCAGTGTTAAGATGGTATGGTAATAAGGGTCAAAAGAAGGGTGCTCAGCTCTCAGTACTGTCCAGGGTGGCAATAACCTCGCCTAGCATTAGACCATACTAAACTGATTAGACTGCTCAGCTAGATGTAGCTATCTAGAATCGGGAATACCATGATATTGGCCCAATTCTGGGTAAAAATGCTCTAAGAAGTGAACTGTTATGATTAATCTAACAATAAAACAGCCTCAATTATGTAAACATGTTGACATAACTCGTCATTTATGGCCCGATCAGGTATGATTGGCATGAGCAGACAGGTTAAAAAATCATCAGTACTTAGAAGAGGAAAGTCTTTCAGTTAAACTCATGGTGGTTTAAAAGTTAGAATGGATGAGAGAGCCAGCTTGAGTTTATAAAAATAATATTTAATGTTTCAACACAGAAAAAGTTAAAGTGCTCTTAAAGTACAATTTTCAATGTTACTTTTGCCCCCAAAATTACACTGTAAAGTGATGCAATACTATAGTTTGTGTCTTAAGCCAGTATTACACTAGCCGCCCAAGTTTTAATCAAAAGCATTGGCAATTTGACCTTTTGACAAACTAGTGTAATATTTTTAATCCACTTTTTTACTCTATACAAGAATGATGCATACCTTACAAAGCAATCTTTAATAGCAGCAATGTTTGCATCTACAACTGCCTTGTCATAACCTCCCACACTTTCAGCTTTTTTGTCTTGCTTTCTTTGTACTTTGAGCCTCAGATTACTCACTCTTTTAGCAAGTTTGTCCAATTGCTCTAGATACATGGGACACTTTGAGCAAGGCTCACTCTTAGCCATGTAGTCAACAACTGGTGGAGCTACTAGTGAAGTCTGGGTAGTTTGAGTACTAACTGTCCTTGTTTCAGAAATACCAAGACTGGATGCTCCCTGTGTTCCAGTATTCAAAGCACTATCAAGAGCCTCTGCTGCACTGGGTCCTAGCTCATTTGTAACCAGATCATGATACTGCAGCAACTTCTGCTGTAGTTGTGACACTTCTCCTTTCATAGAATCTACCTATGAATGTGTGCAAGTGTGATGTAGTTAATCATTTTAAAATATTCTTTGTCATGTAAGGTTGCATGGTATATTCCATAACTGTACGTATCATGCATGTAAACTCACATCATTGTCAAGATCTTTGAATTTTTTAATGAGTTGAACGAAGCCACGAACAAACCTCTTGAGCGTTGAGGAGAAAGAAAGTGGGAGAGAAGGAGAAGAGAATGAGCCAGTTTTGTGCTGCGGTGACTGCTTGCAGTGTTTATTAGTTACTTCAATTTCAAATACGCACGACTGCAGGAGAAAGGCTAACCTATGCAAGTTTGATAATTTATTTTTAAGTTAATGTCACCATTGTCAGCTACCTGTCCGCTAGCAGCTCCAGAAGCAACTGATCATCATCAATGTCTTTGGCAGAGAATGAGAATGCAACATCAGTGGCCTTCTTCTCGGGATAGCGCCAGAATGGTACTGATAATTTATCTGGTGGTATTTTTAGCTGACCATGGAGGTCTTTGAGAGCTCCCTGCAATATGAGGACTTCATTTCTCAGTTGAGCCTGCACCTGCGAGTTGGTGGACATTATTTCAAATTTAATAATGGGGCGAGGCTAGACAGTATAAATGCGTGGGTGGTAAAAGAAGGAGTGGCTGTATTGATTTAAAATCTTAGATGGAAGTCAATGTCAATTTATTACCTGCAACTCCAACGTGTACAGTAGCTATCAGTACATGCATGGCTAGTAAAAACAAAAGGGTTTCAATTATCTTATATTTTAAAGAAATACACTACAAATTCTACATGCAGCTTATAAAAAGAAAATAGATATAAAACTCTGTAAAACATAAAGTTTGGAAGCTATAAGTTCAAACAAAGTAACTAGCAAATGCAAAGAGGATCATAAAGACAGAAGCTACTAGACCAGTAGCACTGGATGCTTCAGCAGGACCAGTAGTTGAGCCAGTTGGACCAGCGGTTGGAAGTAAATGGACTACAAGCATCACTGACACTAACACCACTGCATGAAGTAACACCAGATCCAAGATATGGCTGTGTACAGCAACCCATCCTGTTACTAAATGTACTGACATAATTAAGACAAGTGGAAGAAGCACCACTGCAATATATTCCACCAGTCCTAAAGGTGCAGGCACTAGTCAGTCGATCAAAATCATTATAGTCTCCATCATATTGGCGAATGTACCTCACCTCACAGAAATCACCACTCTCTTGTCCACAGACCCCTTGACGGAGTAATGTGATGAGGTAGTCTTTGTAATCAGATGGAAGAGCCAGACAATTATAGTACTCTTCAATAGGGTCAAGGCATGCAGGGACACAGATTCTAGAATAGGCAGTATTGAGTGCATCAAGCTGTTAATCCGATACGGCGAGTGAAGAAAGCCCACCAGAAAGCTCTGTGAAGTTGCAGAATGAAAGAAGGCTGCTGTCCAGGAGGTTCAGGCATGCAGAAGAACTCTGACGAGTCACTACTTGCTTGTTGTACGATTTACCAGTAACCTTTTCCAGCCAGGCCATTTAGCATCTACACTTCTTTTCCTTGCAGTGGAAGCACCATCACTGCAAGCAATAATGAGTAACAGAGAAAACAAGAAGACTGGAGACATCCTTAAAGAGTAAGTGATCTGCTAGACTGCTACACCCCAATTGCTGATCTCAAACCTCAAACTCTTTTTTTATAGATTAGCTACCCAATGAGATTCAAGACATGATTCAAGGATTCCCCACTGTCAGCTCAACAGAAATGTTACTGAACTGTAAACATGTTTTTCAGAGACTGTATAGTTAGGCATTTGGGATAAAAAGAACTTAGTCCAAAAATAATATGAAAATCATTAATAATCATTTTCCCTTCCATTAATAATATTCACAGTTTAGTTACACATTTGGGATAAAGGTAACTTAGTCCCAAAGTAATATGAAAATCATTAATATCATTTTGCATAATATTCACAGTTTCAATGATATTCATCGCATAAATTAATTCAGTACATAATATTATTTGTTATTATTATTATTATGTGAGTTGGACCAACCCATCAACAAACCTTTTGAGAGTTGAGGTAGAGGAAAGGAGAAGAGAAAGAGCCTAGAACAGACCTAGTCTGGTGACTGACCAGAGAATGAGTTAGCTTCATATCATAGACTATAATGATTGCTCCATCTCAAAATACACATGACTGCAGAAGAAAGGCTTTTAAACCTACACAAAATTACTACTGAATCCCTTTTATTTTAAATATGTTACCTGCAACCATAAATAGTAGCTGCAACAGTGCAACCTCACTCCATTCCTCACTCCATGCATGCATACCTTTTAAAATTAATTCATAGTCTCTCAGTCTAATATCTATGATCAATCTATGATCAATCTATGATTAATCTAAGACAAATTGAAGGCGTGGCTTGTAAAAAGCGTGGGTGTTAGGCTAATGTCTCTTCATAGGATTTTAAGAACATTTTTGTCTACCACAAGGTATTACATTATTATTATTATTATTTCTGCTTATTTTTATATCAATCTAGAAATTATTCCGCTGATGGTGGCAGAATTAGAATATACACACGAACAGGAGACAAAGGTAAAATGAATAATTAGATACAATTATTTCAATTGCTACATCTTCATTATAATAGGTACATCAAGCAATTATGCTGGCCAGAGACTGCCAAAAGATGATGCCCTTTTTGAGGCACTAGGATCCAATGATGAGCTCTCATCATCTCTAGGGTATGTTATGTATTGTATGGTGGATTTAGAATTACTCTAGGGTGCCTTTTTTTCGAGGGCTGTAGATTTCACAAATTTGCCTAAAAATCTATTTTGCAGATTTCATTTTTGCAAATTTATGCCGTCTGCCATCTTGTACCGTAATAATTTGATTTTTGTGGAAGTAATTTTTGTGAATTTTCAAAAAATTGTGAAATCCACAAAATTTACAGCCCTCGAAAAAAGGCACCCTATGGTAGTTATATAGTGGATTAGATGTGTTATGGAAATATTGGTGTGATATTGATTGGTAGTTTCAATCTAAAATCTATTGTTATTGTGCACAATGAAACAAAGCTTTTCATAAAAATCTGCTAATTTGATATTTTAGTAAAAATCTTAAAAGTGTTATTCTCACCAGTTTTTCCACTATTATCTAACCACACCTACTTATATCATGATAGACTAGCAAGAGAGTTCTGCGTTCCCCAGAGCACATTACCCGATAAATTACAAGAGGTATATTATGATATGATAGTATGAATATTTAATGAGTAATGTTTAGATACAGTGCTTGTTACAAGATATTGGATCACATCTGGCAACACCGCGTTCATCAGCCACACCTACTAAACTAGGTAATGCTACTACTCTTTATTGGAACAAATAATGCAAAAGACACTTTTTGTTTTTGATTTTATGTTGTGTTGAAACTTAAAATTTTGAGCAGGCTCTGATCAAAATTTGATTTCTATGAATTTTTAAAGTTGCTCAGAAATTACTTTTTCATGGAACAGAGTATTTTGTCAAAATGATTTAAATAGGATTTTATATTTTTATAATTTCTTTTAATGCAAATGCATGTCCTTCTGTTGTGTAGAATGTTTGAACTGATTCTGATCAAGTTTGAATTTTTTACAAATTTTTTAAAGGTGCTCAAAAATTGGGTCGAAGTCCCTGTACTTTTATACTTTAGTATAGGGATATTGGCCAAATTTTGTCAAAATGAAAAGGAAAGCGTCATTCATTTTTATAATTTTTTTTTGTTACATTTGCATGTATTTATGTTGCGTAAAAAAGTTTGAGCTGATCCTGATCAAGTTTGGATTTTTTTGAATTTTTAAAGTTGTTCTAATATTGGGCAAAGTCTCTGTACTATAGTAAAGGGATTTTGACTCAATTGTTATTAATTTATGATGTAATTTTTGTCGTTAGCTCATACAGAGTTTAGCATGTCTCATGTGACAAAGTTAGAGAAATGGATTGATGAGCTAGATGACCAACTACCTCCACTTACAAACTTCATTTTACCAGTAAAGCCATGATATGATACTCCTATTGTTATTTCTGTATCTCTCCTCCTTTAGTCTGGAGGTAAGGCTAGTTCATTCCTTCACTTATCAAGAACCATCTGTCGCAGGACAGAGAGGAGGTATGATAATAATAAAGCAGAAAAATTAAAGGCTTTTTTTCAAAAATGCATGGTTGTCTTCTATATGGGGAAAATGTAACCACTACTTACCGTACACGTCTTAATTTTCGAGGTGTATTAAATTTCGTTATTTTCGTGCTCACCTTAAATCCACGAAATTTAAACCACTTCTAATGCCATTCTATTGTATGTAGACTATGGCCAGAACATGAAAATTAGCTCACACGAATATTAACTTTTGAGCAAATTTCATTGAAAACACGAAATTTTGAACCCTTGAAAATTTGAACGTATACAGTATCAAAGCAACAATATTGAAACAGCTCTCATAGAAATAGCACAAAAAGCATCTACTGTTAGTATTACTATTTTTATTCTCTCTCTTTTTCGTGATAGGGTAGTCCCCTTATATCGCGATGGTCAAGTTGATGAAGCAGTTTTTAAATATTTAAACAGGTAAGTTTTTAATGGGCTGGATCTTTTAGTTTAAACTTAAATATTCTTTTGTAGATTGAGTGATTTCTTGTTTAATGCTGCTCGCTTTGAGGCACAATTAGAGGAAAAAGAAGAAGTTATTTATCAAAGAAAGTAAAGAAACTAGCTTGTAGAACTACAATATTATTTCTAAATCATTTTGGCTTGTGTGTGTATTTAATTTTCCAAATTTTTCAAATTTTTGCACAATTCAACTCTAAATAAAATTGAGTCACATTATTTCTAAATCGATTCATTTTGAATGGTTTAGTTTTGGCTTCCACGTGTCTGTATTAAGCAAAAAATTTATATAAAAATACATAATAAAACTAAAAAACTTCAGTATAAAGAATAGAAATCAATGCTATATAATTACCTCATCAAACTATATAATGTTAGAGTTCAGCTTAATAAAATGTGTTCAAAACTTCAAGCAAAGAAACTAGCAAATGCAAAGAGCATCACAATGGCAGGAGCTACTAGGCCAGTGGCACTGGATACTCCAATACAAGGTTCACTAACATTAACACCACTGCATGAAGTAACACCAGATCCAAGATATGGCTGTGTACAGCAACCCATCTCGTTACTAAATCTATTGACGCGATCAAGACACTTGGATGAAGCACCTCTGCAAACTATTCCACTAGTTGTATTGGTGCAATAATCAGCTACTTGGTCACCATTTCTATATTGACGAATGTATATCACCCCACAGTATTCTCCACTCTCTTGCTCTTGTCCACAGATACCTTGACGAAGTAATGTGACAAGATAGTTTTTGTGATCAAATTGAAGTTTTAGACAATTGTAGTACCCTTCAATAGGATTAAGGCATTCAGGGACACAGAGTTGAGAGTAGGCAGCATTGAGTTGATCAAGCTGTGCATTTGACAAAGATGATGCAAGCAGTGAAGATATTCTACCAGAAAGCTCTGATATGTTACAATACAAAGGGAGGATGTTGTTGAGTTGGTTTGTGCACACAGAATAATTCTGATAAGCCATTAGTCCTTCACTGTGCAATCTGCTATCGATCTTTTCCAGCCATTTAGTGACATCTGATGCACTTCTTTTCTTTGCAGTGGTAGCACCATCACTGCAAGCAATAGCAATGAGTAGCAAAGACAACAAGAAGATTGGAGACATCCTTAAAGAGTAAGTGATTTGGTGCACTCAAATTGTTGATCTTGAGAAGTTTTTTTATAGTGTAGCTTTGACTTTAATGAGATTCAAGGGTACATGATTCAAGGAAGTAAAGGAAGTGAAATGGATACTCATTCATAAACTTTTACCTCAATTAAAATGCTTTATTGAACTGTAAGCATGCTCTTAGAGACAAGTCCCACGGTAAAGGCTATTGCAGGTCAATTCATTTGGGATTGAACTTCATAGCTGCAGCTAGCAATACAAGGAATTGAGTTCACATAATGTAGACAGTTCACATGAAATTTGATATGGAATAACTTGCTATCTATTCAATAATAATACCTGAAAAGCACTACTTTAATGCATTATGCATTATTGACAATTATATCAAAGTATATGTCTAATAGTGATTAAAAATAAAACATAATTAATTTGTAAGTTTATGTTGATGATCACTAATAGTCTTATTGATAAGTCTGACTTGTTTCAACATTGACTCTAAACATAAGGTGCAATTTAGCTACAGACACACCCACTCACCGGCTTCATTGATGACTTGTCTTAATTTTTCTCCAGAAACTTGATTCTCAGCAACAAGGTTCTTCAAAGTTTCTTCCTATTAGTAAATTTACAAGATTATCCTTTGCTCTATACTTTTCAAGCTTAACAATCAAGACTAGTTTACATTAATATGCTACTAGACCAGTGTATCATCAAATTTTCATAAAAAGTATGGGCAAACTAACTATATATTTGACACTTTATGCTAGAATAAAGCTGAATTCTATTCCAGCATCAACATAACATCTGACCTAGCATAATATTGTAAACCAGGCTTAAAGTATGTAAGGGAGTACAATATATGGTAATGGCTCAAAACTAGGACCTGCTTCTCTGGAGTGTATTCCTGATCAGGGAGTGACTCAATGAGTGTCTCAATGTCAGTGGCTGTTTGTGATATCAGTGAAGCAAATAATGTTGCATTGTTGGTGCTACCTATAATGTGTACACCCTCATTCATAAGTGTGCATAGAGCTGTTGCACGGATGTAATCAACGGGGTAGGTGGAGCTTCCTGTCGGCCATCTTGAGTGGCAAGAATGTACACGCAACGAATGGAGGAATGGAAAGACACTGCGATTTTTCATCAAAGAGTTATCATACTTCGCTACAGAATATTATAGAGACTTCTTTACTCAATATCTTCATCTCCTATCTTGCATTAGCCTGGAATGTCAACTGCAGAATTTATTTAAATCTTTTTCTCCGTTCCCCCATTCATTCTTGGCCTTCTTGCCACCCAACATGGCGGACAATTTTAGCTCAATTTTAGCCACACCCTCCCGTTGATTACTTCCGTGCAATAGCTCTATTAGTGATGAAGTGTGTTTTAGTTTAGAACTTGACTAGTCAATAATTTAAAAATAATTTTTACTCAATACATGTACTCACTTTCCCCTCCTCCTTCTTTGGTCTCTAAAGTAAGTGGAAGTGCATTCATAAGTGATGTAACAACAACAAGGCAAGTAATTCAATATTATGATAAAATGTGAGAATTTAGACTATTATTATTATTATTACCAGTGGTTTGATTCTGTTGCAGAATCCCAATACTATTGCAGAAGTAGTCTGACATCTAAAAAGAATATAAATAAAAACAAGAATAGAGAAATACCTGTGTGACAGCATCTTGTAGTTGTGTTAGTCTGTCCGCCATTTTATCTGACCATATCGGGTTAAAATTACTAGATAACTTCATCAAAAGCGTGGGAGTTAAAACACGTGATCCAAATCGCTTATTTAGAAAAGTAATATTAGAACACGTCGTGTGAGCTTTCGAAAATGGCCGTTTCTTTGGAGCGAATGAGCCTCTCTTTTTCTCGCTACTAGACAACTCTTTGGGCTTCAAATCATCACAGAAACTCTAGACTCTGGCATGAGATTATCTCCAAAATGGAGTCGAAAAGCAGCGGCCGCAGAATCGAGTTGGAACACTCGACCAAACCCACAGCGAGCATGTAAGACTTTCCTTGTACCGCAAAGTGTTTTAACCGCCTCCCTCCCTCTCTACTGTAGAGATATCAGTCCGTCGATGGACAGGATGGAAAGAAAAAGGCACCATAGCTCTCTCAGTGATTTCAAGTGAGTCATAAAAATACACAAAAAAGAAAACAAGACTGGGCGTGGCTTGGGCGGATTTAATCTCTGATGGGCGTAGCTTCAATTTTTAACCCTTAAATATTAATTAACTTAAATTTTGTCACCATAAATAATATTTGCTGTAATTTCTAGAGAGGAGGAGAGAGAGGAGTCTTTTACAAAGAAGCCTCACCTTACTGTCGACACTTCTCCCAACTGCCAGCCATTATGTGAGGCTTTGAGCAGTAATGACTCGTTTTACAGCGGAGGTAAGTAATTAATTAATCTTACATCATCACTATACATGTACATGTTATATGTCACTCTGTGTATCCATGCAGTTACATGTGTGTGTGTGATTGTGTGTTGTGATTCATGGGGTGGATGTTTGCACACAAGCATCTCATTATTGCATTGCAGTCACGCACATGTACAGTACATCTAGCTGTCATTTGATAGCCTTTTGCTCCTACTACATGAGTATAATGAACGCATGTCAGACTGGAATTCATTTCTTTTGTCTTCTTAATCTTATTTTTCTTCTTCTACCTCTCCTTTTTTATCCTTCCCCCTCTATCTCTTTAGTGGCTCATTGTATGTCATGTAGTGGCTGGAGGGAATTAAATTTGTCGAGTTTGGCATTTTGATAGCCATTTGCTAAAATAAAAATTGACCATTTTGAACCATTATGCGCATGCTCAATGGCAAATGGCCACAAATTTGCCAAATTAAAATTCACCAATTACCAACAATTCACCAAATTTAACTTCGTCTAAAATTTCATGCTATATAATATTTCATTTCTTTTCTCTTCTTAATCTTGTTTTCTCCTACCTCTCTTTCATCCTCTCTCCCTCCCCTATCCTATTTCTCTTTTTTTACCTTTCCTTCCTCCTCCCCCAGTGGCTGAGAGTGATGGAGTCCCCATTGCTTCAGGTTTAAGTGCTTACCTTGAGGACATTGTCAGTGACGAGGAGCCATTAGAGGAACCTCCTCCTCCCTCGTCTCCCCAGAGCAGTAAAGGTCCCCCGGAATCGGATCCTGTAAGAAGCAAGGAAGAGTTGCTGCAGTTGATGGAACGTGTTGACCGCGAGATCACGTCAACAGAGCAACAGATAACTGTCCTTGAGAAAAGACAAGTGAGAGAGAGAGAGAGAAGGAAGGGAGGGAGAGAGAGAGAGAGAGAGAGAGAGAGAGAGAGAGAGAGAGAGAGAGAGAGAGGGAGGAGAGAGGGAGGGAGAGAGATTAGGAGGGTATGTTAATTTACAATTTTTACATGCCTTTCACTTCTTTATCTTTTATAGGAGGAAAACTCCTCCATATCACTCACCACACCTATTTCCAGTATAACCACACCCAGTCTCACTTCAGCCCCGCCCACCTCATTAATCAACTCATCATCTTCATCTGTCATTGCATCATCAGTCGCATCCGCTTCATTTACAGACCCCACCCACTTCTCCCCATCCATTCACCAGCAAAAGATGACCGACAAAAGATCAGTTGTTGATATTGTGTATAATGAAAACCGACTGAAAGCTCTCAACTCTCAGATTGCTATGTTTGGACCTAATAATAACAAACTAGGAATGGGAGTAAGGAGAGAGAGAGAGAGAGAGAGAGAGGGGAGGGAGGGAAAGGGAGGGAGGGAGGAAGCAGGGAGAGAGAGAGAAAGAGAGGATAAAAGAGGAAAGAGATCAAGAGACAGAAGTGTATGAATTGAAAATGACTGAAGGCAGAATAAGAGAGGCTTTGTAATTATTCTTTTTATTATGTATTGCAGCCACTGTACTATCAACCAAGTGATACTGAGCAATTCCTAAGAAACAAAGAAAGGTGAGGGAACTGTAAAATAATAATAATTGTACATGTACATGTAGTGAATTTTATGTATAATTTTAAAAGTGATTTATTATTATTATTATTATAGTCACAAAGTCTTTTTACCAAAACTGTTGTCATATTTAAAGAAGAAGAAGATAGAAAAATATCGCAAGGTATGATGTTATTTTTACTCTTTAATAATAATAATAATTATTATTATTGTTTTTTTGATAGGAATTAGCTCTGTGTGAAGAATATGAGAGTATTTATGCAGACTGGGAGAAGAGGATAGACAGATGGACACAATCAATAAAGAAAAAGTAAGGAGCCAACATTCTTATACATGTTATTCCCACATGTACTGTGGTCTTGTAATTTTACCATACATATAAAAGTACATGTACATGTGGTCTTCATACATGTACTTTTACATGTACATGTACATGTAAATACATGTACATGTACATGTAAATACATGTGTATTATCACATATATGTATGTGTATATCATGTGCATCCATTTCTCCCTTTGTTACAGGAACAGAGACTCGAGGAGCAAAGAATTATTTGAGAAAGCTTTCCCTGAGCTTCGGTCAAAGAGAGATCAGCTAAGAGACGAAGCACACAGCAGGTAAAAGCATGTACATGTACATCTTTTATTAACTAAATGTACATGTACATGTACATGAGCATGTTAAACTCAGTTGATGTATTTTACGATGCTGGTACATGTACATGTACATGCGCTTGTAAATGCCAGTATACAATACATAAACAAATGTAAAGTACATGTATTGTACATGTACATGTATTTTAAACTAATGTACATGTACATGTATGATGATACTGTATCCAGGGTTTCTTATAAGATTTTGACATAGAGCTCATGCAGATTCTTGTCAGTCGATTTTCAGTTGATTAAAACTAGGCGACGTAGCTTGTACTACATGTATGTATGTAGTACAGGATATTTTGACAAAAATTGCAAGAAAAGTATTTTCCATTTTCATATTTTTATCTGATACAGGTGCATGTCCTTATGCTTTGTATTAACTTTGAGCTGATTCCGATCAAATTTGGATTTTTTATGAGTTTTAAAGTTGCTCAAAAATCAGGTCAAAGTCCCTGTACTATAGTACATGGTCTGAGGCCAAATTTTGCCAAAAATGAAAAGGAGAGAATTCTCCAATTTAAAAATTGTTTCTGATACCTACACATGTCCTTATGCTGTGTATCAACTTTGAGCTGATTCCGATCAAATTTGGATTTTTTATGAATTTTTTAAGTTGCTCCAAATGCCATGTACTGTATTGTAGTGCTTGTCAGCTCATGAAGCTCATGCTGTTTAGCTCACTTAGCATGCTTTGTGGAAAAACCCTGACTGTACATACATGTACAAGTGCATCTATTACTGTATATAAATATTCTGTTTTTATTTCTCTCTCAGAGTTGGTGTGAGGTCATTTGGTGTAGTGAGAAGTGAAGCTGAATTGAATCAGTTAGCATATGAATTATATGAGCAGGATGAGGTGGGTGTGGTTTAATTAATTACACGTACAATGTACATTATGTATTTATTTTTAAATTTTGCCATTATTATTAATTTATTATTATTATTATTATTATTATTATTATTATTATTATTATTATTATTATTTATATTAAAGAAATACATACGGTAGTCATAAAGGAATATATAGATTAAGCAATGAGGATAGATCACGATTGTTCTTTCTTTATTTTAGGCTAAAGGTAGATGGCAGCTAACACATGCTGTGCTGCCTCCAATGTTGATTGAGAAGAGAGAGAGACGAGTTCAATTTATTAATAATAATGGTAAGGATCATAAGTCGTGTATTCACACTGTACATGACTACAAGTACTGTAGCAATGTGAGCTTAGAGGGTAGCAGCATTGTTATGAACATTAGAATGTTTTATGGCCATTTTTATTGATACCTTATACCATATGGGGGTTTTATTTTGTTGGTATAAAATTTTGCGAATTTGTTTAGATTTGCCATTTGGTGGAATAAATTTTTACAAATCTTACCTTCTGCAGCCATTTTTCCTAGTGTGCCACACCTCTTCTGTGGAATTTAATTTCATGACTTTAATAAAAATGTAAAATTAGCAAAATTTACATGTATTTCCATTTTCCAGTGAAACCCCTATACAGTACTTAGTCATTTTCGTAGTGTATTAATTTTTGTTTTTTCTGTTCTCAATTTAAATCCACGAAATTTAACCACCTCTACTGCCATTCTGTTGTATGTAGACTATGGCCAGAACATGAAAATTAGCTCACATGAATATTACTTTTTGAGCATGTTTCATTGAAAACACAAAATTTTAAACACTTGAAAATTTCATGGGCCCACTTTTGGAGCAAATTTAATTTGAGCTGTGCATGCTCAGATCTGCAAATATAATTGCATCCACTGCAGTTAAGAGAAGAAAAATTTAAATGGATTTTAATTAAGTTTGGATTTTTATTTGCTCCAAAATATAATGTATTTACATGTACTAACTTTCGTATGATATAATTGGAGTATTTGGCAATGCTTATCATTTTGGCACTAATGTAACAACAGTTAGTAAAGTCGGTGTGGGTCACAGGAATTTAAGAGACATGGGCTACTCTGATGACCATTTTGAACGATTTTTGTAGACTATACATAGTAAGTCATGAAACTATAAAGTAAAATAAACATGTAATATAGATTTAGTGAAAAATACTGCACAGTAAATGCATACTTAAAGAAAACAAAGATATATGTAGTGTAAGTGTCAACAACTAGCAAACAAGTATTGAAACTTTAGGCTGAGTACAGTTTCTTTATTTATTTTGAAATGCTTTTAAATCAGCACACTGTTGCTTTCACCACAGCTATAGAAAGTTAATATCTCTTTGTTTGTGACTAACTTGTGTCTCTATATAAAGAAAAGTGCCATTAGTGGAGAGTAGAAAGCTCTTTTGTACTCGTAATATGGCTGAACATTTGGAACAGTTTCTTGAATCAGCCGATGACTACATGTCAACAAGGATGAATGAGAAGGAGAAGGGAGCCTTTGAACTTGGAGACATGAGTAAGAAGGAAGAATCAAAAAGTCAAGAATCTGTTCTACCTACTAAACAGAAGCAGTCATCTTGGAGTAAACCACTACTGTGCATAACAGTATTGCTCTGTCTCATATTGATACTGTTACTAATATTACTTGGCTCTGCTGGATGGGTTGCATATGATATTTATTTTTCCACTGGTAATAATACTGATAATGGTAATACTGCAACTAGTGCTATCAGTAGTAGTAATACAAATGAATGGGCTGATCGTATAGCTCAAAATGTTTATGAAAAACTTCGCAATGTTATTGAGTGCTCTAATACTGCAAGCACTAGCAGCAGTGAGTTCGCTGATAGCATAGCTCAGGAGGTCTCCCAAAAGCTTTTAAATACTTTGAAAATTCCTGACTTCAATGTATGGGCTAGTGGTGTATCACAAAATACCCTTCAATTATTTCAGAGCAATACCAGCTTCACTGAAGTTGATAAACAAATCTTACAAACTACAAGAGATTCTGCACAAAAGCTCATTAACATTGTCAATACTCTCTCTAATCTATAAGACACCAGTACCTCTACTGCTGCAGTAGTCAATGGTATATTATTAATAGCACAAGAACTATTAGTATTGCAGAATGACTCAACTGCTTTACCTACTTCCTGTGAAGAGATTAAGGAGAGACAACCACTCAGTCCATCAGGTTATTATATACTGGCAAGTGGTAATACTACTTATACTGCTTACTGTAATATCACTAATATGGGAACATTAATGCATAATCACTCAGCTGCTATAACTACCTCGTGTAAGCAGTTAAAAGAACAACAACCTAGCAGTCCATCAGGATATTATGTATTAGCATCAACTAATGGGTCAACTAATTATACTACTTACTGTAATATGGGATCATTGTGTGGTTCAGGAGGAGGATGGACAAGACTAGCATATCTGGATATGACTGATGCTACACAGAACTGTCCTTCTGGGTTTGGTCTGGACCAGTCAGGAGGAGTTAGAGCTTGTGGTAGAAATAGCAGTAGTGGTAGCTGTGTATCAGTTCAGTTCCCATCTAATGGTATCAGTTATTCTCAGATATGTGGTAGAGTAACAGGATACCAATATGGCCATGTAGATACTCTTAATAATTTTTATGGTATTGATTCTTATTATGTTGATGGTGTTAGTATCACTCGTGGGTCTCCTCGTCAACATGTCTGGACACTAATGGCTGGTCAAGATCAAATCTCATCAAGCTCATGTCCATGTAATAATGGTAGTACATTATCAGTGCAGTCTTTTATTGGTAATAATTACTTCTGTGAATCTGGTAATCCTCATGATGGTTCATTAAGTATCCTCTACACATCTGATCCACTTTGGGATGGTCAAGGTTGTGGTTCTCTTGAATCACCTTGTTGTAATGTTCCTGGTATCCCATGGTTTCACAGAGACTATGGTAGCAACACCACTACTGACTATATTGAGTTGAGAGTGTGTACTAGTGCTGGAGGTGAAGACAGTCCTGTTAGCTATTATGAGATTTATGTTAAGTAGTGTGAAAGTACATGTACATGTATGTGTGTGTTGTGTTTTAACTTTTTAGTGTTTATAATTATTGTGTTTTTCTAATTGTCACTCTTGTTGCTATGTAGTTTGATTATGAAATTAACCACTGATTGTAATACATTTGGACCTTTTCCCCATAAACCTGTGCTATTATAGTTTATTTTTTACCAAAAATGGTAGAAAATGTTTCATTTTTGATAATGCTCCCTAATATTGGCATTTGAGACTGTGGTAGTATATTATACCACATCTACTGGTTTCATTGTGAGCAAGTAGAAACTATCATAAATACCAGTCCTCCTAATGATCATGTGTGTTATGATCAAATCATTATGATCATGATTATATTCTGACTGTCTCCCTTTAAAGAGATAGTGTTACTTTAGATATGACATTATAGGTAGGAAGTTATACCTAAGTATATTAGCAGTCACAGTTAGGCACTCACTTGATCCACAGCCATTCATTCAAGCTCATTTTGTAATTTAAAGTTTCTCAAAAATTGGGCTAAAGTCCCTGTACTATTCCTTAAAAGTAATGAAAACAAAGCAAGCAGGATTCCAAACGGCTGATTACAATAACATTGAAAATGCAATCTAGAGTAGAATTTGCATCACGAGAGTAGGATTTTCATTTTGGATTATAGATAGTCATCATTTGGAATCCTACTTGTCCTTGTTTCCATTACTTTTCTGACAAATTAACACAAAATTGAAAATATAGTTTTTGCTTTTTTTCAAAAATTGGCTCGTTTTTCTAAATGCTAATAACTTTAAAATTATTTGTCAGAAACAGCTCAAACTTTCTACATTAGCATAGATCACGTTATATATATATATATTTTTTTTTAATTTTAAAGTTGCTCCAAAATGTAGCCAAAGACCCTGTAGTACTCTCGACTCAACCATAAAAGAAATCCTAATTTCCATTGCTACAAGATTTAATGATAGATTTCAATTACTTTTATTACCTCATTTTTGACTACTGTCATCATTCCAGGTCTCATATCTGATCCAATGGCCGTACACAGATCAACAAAGACTGCTCACTCTTGGTCGGATGAAGAGAAAGCAATCTTCAAAGACAAGTTTGTTATTTGTAATAATTATTTTTAAATTATTTTATAAATACATGTATTTTATATATTCGATTTTGCATTGATGCGTAGGTTTGCCCAGTTTCCAAAGAATTTTGAGAAGATCTCATCATTCCTGCCCAACAAGGTATGCAATACATGCAAGTATACATTGTACATGTACATGTACATAATGATTATACATGTATACATGTACATGTATTGTATGATCGCAATGTACATGTACACTGTTAGATCTAGAGGGAGTGTAGGAGACTTTTGGTCTCCCATATTTGGTTTAGATTTCTCATTTCACCTTTTGGTATCTCATATGCCTATTACCTATACATGTAACACTACCATTTCTAGTAGTTACATTGTTACATTGTAGATTGGTCTCTTAAAATTTATTTCTAAATATAACATTGTACATGTATAATGTATGTCCTACATATATATAAATTTATCCTTTTCACACATTTTTACCTTCTTGAATCTCGTTCTCTCTCCCTCCCTCTAGTCCATGAACGAGTGTATTCGATATTATTATTTGGTTAAGAAGAAAGAAAACTTCAAGCAGCTAATCCGTCGCTCGTCATTCAAAAGACGCCGACTCAGCAAGCACCATCCGAGCTATCATATGAATTCAGGCCTTCATTCGTCCTCCTTATTAGGAAAGACAAAGCCACGCCTCTCATCCTCTGACGGGGGACACTCCTCTGCTGCTCCCTCTGTCCTCACCTCCCCCACCTCTCTCCCTCCTGTTGCTATCAAATCACCTCCTAGAGTGCCTGGTACGGGTTTTGAGGGAATGGGAATGAGTTTTGTGAGAATGGGAATGAGTTTTGAGAGAATGGGTATGAGTTTTGAGAGAATGGGTATGAGTATTATGAGAATGAGAATTAATATAGTATTACATGTATCAGGATGAGTATGAGCTTGAGTGAATGGGTATGAATATTGAGAGTATGAGAATGGGAGAATGGGATTGAGTATAGAAGGAATAGGAATGAGTAAGAGAATGGATATTGGTATTGGGAGAATGGGTAGAGTGATGGTATGAGATTGAATCTTGAAAGAATGGGAAATGGAGTTTGAAGTATGAAAATATGGCATTTAGTACAACACAGTGAACACACAGTTGTATCAATGTCAAATGACAATATACGTGTACATCTAATTGACTATCTGTCCTTTTTTAGACTATGATGGTTGGACTGATAAAGAGATATCAAGTCTTAAAGAAGGATTGTGCAAATATGGTCGTGCCTGGGGTAAAGTGTACAGAGAGGTTGGAGGAGGGAAGAGTGCCACACAGTGCAAGCAGTTTTATGATACTTATTGTACAGACCAACAGCTACAACTCAATAACGCACTCGCTGAACATTCCTCGAAAAAGGTACTGTACTGTAGCTCAGTATATCCAGTATAAGTCTGTAAATTTTAGTATACTTGGGGAAATTTTATAATATGCCGAATGATGCATAAATTAAATTATTAGAATGGTTCAAGTTTGTGTAGAGTCAAACTGCAAATGCATCAAAGCATAAAAATTAGCACATAAAGAAGTGGCTTAATAATTATTGTTTGGTAATGTTAATAATTTTTTAACTTGAAAGATAAAAATTAACTTATGTAATTTTTTACTTTCCCCTAGAATGCCGAGAAAGTGAAAAAGAAAATGGCCGAAATAAAGAAAGCTTCTACCCTCTCTTCTCCAGTCACTGTATCAAAGAAGGTGGAAAAGAAGCCACACCCACTGACACACCCACTAGCCACACAGGAAGGGGGAGAGAGCGAGGAAGAAAGTGATGGAACTGAAACTGAGGAAGATGAAGATGAGGACGAGAGTGACTCTGAGACCACGCTGACTGACAGTGGATCGGAAGAAACTAAAACCAAGGATTTCAAACCGTTACGATTCTCATCTTCATCCATCGATCAAGTCAACAGTGAGTCCCTTCAAAGTCCTCTTGATATATTCCTATCAGCGGCTGAGGCTCTTAGTAACACTGTCCCTGTTGAGATAGCGCTTCATGATCATACATACTCACGCCCGCCCATGGACCTTCAAGGTAGCTCAGGACTTCAGCTAATTGCTGCTGCAGCTGCTGTCGTGTCCCCAGGTCTTGCTAAGACTGCTGGATCCTCTGGGTCTAAGTCAACCGGGTTTTCTATCACTAATAAAGCCCCCAGGGGTCGCCCCCCTAGTCAGCAGAAGCGTGGGAGTGGTTACACTCATCAGAAATTAGCTCCTACCTTTCTCACACCCACCAGCGGAACGAGCCACAATATTAGTCTCGATTTGAAACCAACTCTAAGAGCTCGCTCTCGCTCAGCCCCCACTGATAAACTAAGACCTCAAATTCCTCTTGCAGCTGGTAAAAACCTTGTTGCGTACCCACAGCCTTCTGTCAGTAAATCTCATATCACTCCAACTGTAAGAGGCGGGGCAGTAATGGCTGGCAAGGACATTAATTTGATAGCTACCTCTGGGATACTGCGATCATCTTCCTCCCCTTCCTCTTCTACTGCCTCCTCCCCCTCTTCTTTCATTGGTGTGGCTAATGGTCATCTTAATTCAGTCGATAATGCTAGCAGTACAGCTAGCCCCGTAATGCATCCACACTTACTGACACACACTAGCTCTGATGGGACATCTCGTATATCCTATCCGCTTGTTTCCTCTTCGTCTGCTTCCAAGTCTCACCAGAGAAGGGACGGCCCTGTCCTTGAGCTCAATTTAGGTAATTTAGGCAACATGGCTTTATTGCTGGCGGCGACAGGTAGCAACCAGCAGGCTGCGTTCCTCCTCCCTCCCTCCACTATCCTTAACAAGCAGACTCTGGCCATGTTGCAAGGTAGCTCTGTGTGTTTATCTGATTCCGGTGCTGCTACTACTTTTAGTATTGATACTTCTTCTCTTACTTCTAACGGAAGTGGTGGGCGCCTTGTCAAAACCGATAAAGAACTCACATCACTCTCTGTCGGTAAAGGAGGCGTCATATTATCGACCACACCCACTTCCTCATTACCTAAAGACTTCAGCGCTACTGTTAAAGGAAGTGTTCCTCTTCACTTGTCGGCTCCGTTGAACGTTAAAGATGCTTCTACTAGTATGTCACCTCGCTCATTATCAACTATAATTATCAAAGATAATAATGTCACTACTTCTACTGCTACAATTAACTCGCCTGTACATGTCAATACATGTGCCGTGACTAACTCCACCCACTCTGATTTGGTTCCAAGCAGTGGTGCCAGTAATGTTTTTAAACAAGATGGACCCCAGGATTTGACTGCACCTACATCCACGCCCACTTCTCCTGGCGATTTCTCCAATCTAAACTTGTTATCTAATCTTGTCGCCGGATTGTCTAAAAAGCCTGACCACGCCCCTCAAACGGCCTCGGCTACAGTGACCACTCCCACGACCCCACCTGTCAAACCGAATGTACTCAATTTCAGAAAAATGGAGAGCAAGATTGATCATCACAAACCAGCAGAGACTAATTCTCATCGCCTCCCCCCGCCCACAAGCTCCACCTATCAGACCATTAGCAGTCAGCAATCTTTAATGTTATATGCTCGGTCTCTCTCAATGCCTTTGAATTCATCAGCCACAAGCTCACCCGAAGAAGTTGATTCTCTTGAATACGCTACTAGAGGAATCAGCGAATTATCTAAATTACTCGGAGGGACTGATAATGGGATTGATGCCCCGCCCACTTCCTCTAAAGTTACCTCTTGGAGTCCTGACGAGTTATTATGCAACCCATTTGGTGATCAGGGAGCTCCCACTTCTGTTCATACCATAACGACGTCTCTTACAGCGGCGACGACTGATTTACTGGTCCCACCTCCTCGTCAGTTGTCTCTTTCAAACAGAACACCTACTCCAATTAATGCCCTTGCAGAGGAAAAGAGTTAAAATATGTAAAGTTGATGTTGTGTTTTTTTGTTCCTTTTTTTCTCTAACTTCCCTTTTTTAAGCCCCCACGTCCCTCTCTCTCTCTCTCTCTTTTCTGTCTCTCTCTTGTACATGTCCTCTGCTCACAAACTGTGATGAAATCAGCAACAAAGTTATTTATGTATAAATAATTATTCATATTATGATGACATTGAAGAGAAAAATATAATTTATATAACTGTCATTGGGAACTGATTTTATAATTACTACTAACAAGTACTACTGGTACAGGCATTAGTTGGGTAGCACAGTCGATGGGACTATGTACGCATTTTGAAAGACTCTCTGTAATGTCCAAATTTTATCTGTAAAATACCAAAAAGGACACATCTGTATTGTGTGTTCCCGATGGTATTTGGAATATATAAAGAATTTACATTGTACTTCCACAAAGCTTTAGTTTTGTGTATATTAATCTTGATTTTTTAGCTTATATTAATTTGTCACCCTTTAGATTATAGCTGTCTGTAGACTGTTCATAGCTCTCTTTTTAAATTGTACTAGTGACTTATATAGAAATTTTAGCAGCAAAACAATTATTTTAAGCTCAAAAATAAGGCCTAAAATTCTAATTATTAATAACAACAAAGTAAGACAAGTTCAACCATAGATAGATCTATGTTCTGTATCTCAACGAATGAATATTTCAACAATATCAATGGGGCTATTATCATATATGTATTTTTTACTATTGCATATTCTCAGCTCTATATCATCTGTGGTCTCTTCGTCCAATTTCCTATAAAACCAAGGGAGTTTAGGATTAGTGCAACAAGGACCTTCAACTCCATCACAATCTTTACCATCCCAAAGAGCATCACTATAATAAAGGATTGTGCTGTTAGCTTGTTCACTGGCTGGAACCCCTGACTCACAATAATAATGATTTTGAACAAATAGCTTTGGATTGCTACCACCAGTATAGTTTGCATTGCAGGGACACGAGTTGTCATCATTTGTATCAGATTCTTCTCCTACTGCGTATGTCCAGATATGCTTTCGAGGATTTGCTCCATGCGTTATAGAGACCCCCTCAACATAACTGCTGTCTATATTATTAGTATAGTTTGGTGTATGGAAAGCATGTAGTCTTCCAGACTGATACCCTCTCACTTGTCCACACACTTCTGTATAATTGTTTCCTGTGGATGGAAAGAAAGCTGAAGCACAGCCTGTATCTGAATAATAATCAGCTATTAATGAATTAGCATTCCAGCAAAGTGAGTCAACAGAACTTATATATGGACTTATTAGTTCTCCACTAGGACATGTAGCACCAGGCTGGGTCATGTTGAGGAAGGCCACTCTTGTCCATCCACCTTTTCCATCACAGTTCCTGCCCTCCATATCACAGTACACACTAACGATATCTCCATTGCTTTGAGTGATGTAGTAATAGCCTGATTCTGCATTAGGATAGGCATCTAATACCTCATGACAAGAAGTATGACTGTATACTCCTAGAGAGTTGCAAAATTCCTTTGGTAGGCCAGTAGTTGAGCAGAGGATGTATTTGTTGGAATTATTTTCTCTTACTTTTAATGTTTTCCCACTATTAGTTGGGAGACAGCAATATCTGTGATAGAGGGAAGGAGTATATCCATTATAGCTGGCACTGGTAGAGCATGAGTCATCCATACAAACTGATGAGGTATTAGCTTCATGCAATAGGACAATGAAGGAGAGAAGAATTGCAAAGCACATCATAGTGATCACAGCTTATTTTTGCAAATTCACTTGATCACACTACTGATCAATGGCTGCTCTTCACTGCTTACCAGAACTATAGCTGATGATGACACTAAATTAGACAAAGCTCTGTCAGGATATTAGGCAAGATAGGATTACTTTTTTACTCTGCTCAAATAGCTACTGGAACAGTGCCAGGAACGCTACGTGATGTGCCAGCTTCACGGTAGTAGACTAGTAGTAGCTAATTGTGTGCTATAGTAGTAATCATGATGCCTTAATCAATTTATTGAAGTCTATACTTCAGTGAAAACTTTTATATGCTAGGCTGCCACAATTCCATAAAAAGATTAATATCTATAGACCTCAAAAACTTATGGCTTTGCACTGCACTGCATGGCTTCCATGTGGTCATGCTACTGGTATAATGTGAGGATGTTGATACTATGACTTGAATCACATATGATTTGCCATTTCTTGCTAAACCATTATATATATATGGGTTTGACCATAGGCCATGCCTAATTTTCAACATCATAATGAGTAAAGGATCTCATCTTTAGTGGCTAGCAAGATTATCTCAACTCATCATTAAAAAGTCGTATTAGATTAGATCATGTGATAAGAAAGTTTGAGCGGATTCAAACAAAAAATTTTCAAGTTACAGCCATTTTAAGAAAATGCCCAAATCCTGAAGAGTACCCTGTACTTTGCCCATGGTTTTTTTTTCAAAAAATGGCTCCAAAATCACCTCCAATTTTTATTACATTTTCTGATACATATTGATGTACTTATGCTGTGTAGCAAGTTTGAAGTGATTCCAACTTCAATTTTTTAAGTTACATCCATTTTTAAAGAAAACGGCAAAATTCTGAAAAATACCCAAGGCTATAGCCCATGGTTTTTTCCAAAAAATGGCTCAAAAATCACCCCAAATTTTTATTAGATTTTCTAATACATATTGATGTCCTTATGCTGCGTAGCAAGTTTGAAGTGATTCCGACTTCAATTTTTAAAGTTACGTCCATTTTTTAAGAAAACGGCAAAATTCTGAAAAATACCCAAGGCTATAGCCCATGGTTTTTTCCAAAAAATGGCTCAAAAATCACCCCAAATTTTTATTACATTTTCTGATACATATTGATGTCCTTATGCTGTGTAGAAAGTTTGAGTTGATTCCGACTTGAATTTTTCAACTTACGGCCATTTTAAGAAAACGGCAAAATTCTGAAAAATATCCAAGGCTATAGCTCATTGTTTTTTTTAAAAACAGCTGCAAAATCACCTCAAATTTTTATTAGATTTTTTGATACATATTGATGTCCTTATGCTGTGTAGCAAGTTTGAAGTGATTCCGACTTCAGTTTTTAAAGTTACGTCCATTTTTTAAGAAAACAGCAAAATTCTGAAAAATATCCAAGGCTATAGCCCATTGTTTTTTTTTTAAAATGGCTGCAAAATCACCTCAAATTTTTATTAGATTTTTTGATACATATTGATGTCCTTATGCTGTGTAGCAAGTTTGAAGTGATTCCAACTTCAATTTTTCAAGTTATGGCCATTTTTAAAAAGTAGCAAAATTTCAGAAAAAGCATGGACTATAGCCCATGGCTTTTTCAAAAAATGGCTCCAAAATCATTCCCAATTTTTATTACATTTTCTGATGCATATTGATGTACTTATGCTGTGTAGAAAGTTTGAGTTGATTCTGACTTCAATTTTTCAAGTTATTGCTATTTTAAAAAAACGGTAAAATTCTGAAAAATACCCAAAGCTATAGCCTATGGTTTTTTTTCAAAAAATGGCTCAAAAATTACACCAAATTTTTATTATATTTTCTGATACATATTGACGTCCTTATGCTGTGTAGCAAGTTTGAAGTGCTTCCGATTTCAATTTTTGAGTTATGGCTATTTTAAGAAATGAAAAGTACCCTGTATAGTTTATGGTTTTTCCAAAAAATAGCTCCAAAATCACCGCAAATTTTTATTGCATTTATATGATGCATAGTGATATATTTATGACAGACATGTAGTACTTATAATGATATTCATTGGTGGCCTTGCATGCCCCACATGCTTCTCATTGCTTTCCATTTTTCTAACTCTAAGTTCAAAAAAATCTTTTGCAAAAAATAATTAGTTCATCAAAAAATAATTTCACAAAAATCCTAAAAATCTTAGTTTTTGCATCAAAATTGTATACAATCCATCACTGCAGTTAGCGGATAAATATTTCAACAATATCAATAGGTACGTCATCAATAGCAGTTTCTCTAACGTTGCATATTCTCAGCTCTATATCATCTGTTGTCTTCTGACTCAATTTCCTATAAAACCAAGGAAGTTTAGGATTAGTGCAACAAGGACCTTCAATTCCATCACATCCTTTACCATCCCAGAGAACATCATTCGCATAAAGGACACCATTGACATAGTCCACACCAGATGGGGTACCCGATTCGCAATAATAATGACTTCCAATAAAAGAGCTGGGATTACTACCACCATTGTAACCTTTATTGCAAGGACATGCAAATCGGCTGGTACTATGAGACTGGTATCCCCCAGCATACGACCAGATATGCTTGCGAGGATATCTTCCATGAGTGATTGAGACGCCATCAACATAAGTACTCTCTATGCCATAGTAATTGCTTGAAACAAAAGCCTCTGGACTTCCTAGCTGATACCCTCTAACTCGTCCACAGACTTCGGTATATTTCATTCCTGAATATATAGCTGTAAATTTTGTTGAAGCACAACTGGCCCATGAGGAAGACGGCCTCTTACAGAGGGGATGAGGGATGGCAGTAAAGCTCTGTTGTCTTAGTCCACTAGGACATGTAGCACCAGGCTGGGTCATATCGAAAAAGGCCAGTCTTGTCCATCCACCTGTGCCATCACAGTTTGTACCCTCCATATCACAGTAGACCTACAGAAGAATTGATGGTAACTATGCATGCTAATGGATTACATGCCATTTTTGCAACATTGCTATTAGAAAATATTGGATACTCGCAGCTTTGAGTGGCACCCATATCATACCAGTCCTTGCATGAACGTGGTAGACCAGTGGGAAGCTCTATAGAAATAATAATCATAAAAGGGTCTCAAACTGATTTACTATTTTCCTTACTGTTAGAGCAATTTCCATTGACATTACTAAAGAGATATAGCAAGAGTAGAGCTAAAACTGGACTCATGACTCTCTATGATGCTTCAAGTTATTGAACAATTCAATTTACTGTCGCAACTGTGGTCACTTACAAAATTGCAGCTTATAAGTATTCTCATGATAAGGCTACATTGAAAGAATTAAGATTGCTCTCGGTAGCCGTGCGGCTATTAAACAATGAAAAGAAAGCATAGATATTTTAAATCTATACTAGGAACTATGAACAAAGAATTAGTGGTTTCTCATTCCCGCCCACCAGAAGACAGATCATAGAATATCTAGATATTATGACAATAGCATATCTGTATTTGTTTTAGCTGATCTCTGACCTATGTAAAAGTGGGTAAAGTATAAGTCTTTTCTCTAGCTTTCATGTTGCACCCTTTCCTCTCAGTTATGATGAGTTATCCTTCTTGCTGCTAGCATCTTCCATAAAATGAAAAGTCCACAGTTTGATATCTAATTATCCTGCAACTGCATCATCTGCATGCATCTGATTCTGATCTAGCTTCTTGTGGGTGTGGCTGGATTTATGGTAGAAAAACTAGGATGTATGTAGAAACAGAGCTAAAGAGATGCGAGGAGCTCTCAAAGAGTTTAGGGGGCAGCGTGTGGCTAAAGATGGAGACACAGCAGATCACTGGGAGCTTTAAATACCGCGGGATTAGCTTACTCTGTAAAAAGGCATGTAAATCTAGATCCATATTGATTTTACCTGCTTATGTTCTTATTATAGAGTGTTGATGAAGGATATAAGAAATTTGTATGTTCATCAGGTAATTAGATCTATAATGTGCACCCACTTCTATGTCATTTTTCATCTTTGTTGATTTGTTATTTGTAATTGTACTTGTACAGTATTAAACCACACCTACTAACACTAGGAGTATTAATGGTACATGTACTGTGAGCTAGAAAATTTACATATTGACAAATCAGAATCAGCTCAAACTTTGTAATGAATTTAATTTTGCTGGTGTAGGTGTGGTAGTTGTTAATACACTCATTAACTACCGTAGGGCGCCTTTTTTTCGAGAGCTATAAATTTTGCAATTTTTTGAAAGATTCACGAAAATTACTTTCACGAAAATCAAATTAATACGGTACAAGATGGCAGACGGCATAAATTCATGAAAATTAAATCCGCGAAATGAAAATCCAGGAAATTTATAGCCCTAAAAAAAGGCACTCTACGGTATTACATGTGCTTTGATGAACACAAAACTTTAAAATTGAATTCCAACATTTCCAGCTATATATTGTTTTCAATACATATCAGAACAACAATTTCCATTCATCCAATTGGCTTTTGAAAGAAACCCGGTCACTTAAAGTCTTCATTCATATTTTCAGGTGGTAACGCTGGACTAGCTGCTACTAGAGCAGCAAAAGAACTAGACACACCAATCTCTGTGTATGTTCCCATGACAACTCGTGAGGTCATGAGAGAGATGTTAAAAGAGGGAGGGGCCAGTGTACATGTACATGGAAAGGTATGTCAATCCTCGTACGCCACCAATAACCTGTTCTTATAACAGGTTTGGGATGAGACTAATGCTTTGGCTGTGAAAACTGCAAATAAAGAAGGTTAGAAATATGCAACTGAATAATAGTTTATTATTATTTATAATGATAGGGGCTTTTATGATTCACCCTTTTGACCATCCAACAATATGGTATGTATTTCCTTTTTGTCTAGTTTTACTTTTGTCTCTCTCCCTTTATTCTCTCTTCTCTCTCAACCCTCTATCTCTTTCTTTCTCCTTTTTTCCTCCTCTCTCTCTCTCTCTCCCTCTATCCTCTCTCTCTCTCTCTCCCTCTCTCTCCCTCCCTCTCTCTCTCTCCCACTCTCTCCTTTCTTCTCTTTCTCTCTCCAGGGAAGGCCATTCATCTATTGTCACTGAAATAAAGTCTCAGTTACCATCAGACTCCGCCCCTCCTGATCTCATAATAGCGTCAGTTGGAGGTGGTGGTTTAATGAATGGAATACTTCATGGGATGGAGAGGGTTGGGTGGGGTCACATCCCCTTTATTGCCATGGAAACGGAGGGTGCGGATAGCTTGAATCTGTGTGTGAGAGAGGGAAGGTGGGAATCTCTTAAGGAGATAACAAGGTTAGGATAAACTTAATGAGTCAATGATCTGATCGTAATCAGTTCAAACTTTAAATACAACATAAGTAAATCCGTGACAAGCAAAAACCTATTTCTTCCACTATGACAAAATCTGTGACCAAGACCATGTACTATAGTACAGGGACTTTGGGCCCAATTTTGGCGTAACTTTAAAAATTCATAAAAAATCCAAACTTGATCGTAATCAGTTCAAACTTTCTACACAACATAAGTACCTGTATATGCATCAAAAAAATTATAAAAATTGAAAATTTTCTCCTTTTCATTTTTGACAAAATTTGACGAAAATCCCTGTACTATAGTACAGGGACTTTGGGCCCAATTTTGGAGTAACTTTAAAAATTCATAAAAAATTTAAACTTGATCGTAATCAGTTCAAGCTTTCTACACAACATAAGTACATGTATACGTATCAGATAAAATTATTAAAATGGAGAATTCTCTCCTTTTCATTTTTGATGAAATTTGGCCAAAATCCCTGTTATAGTACAGGGACTTTGGGCCCAATTTTGGAGTAACTTTAAAATTCATAAAAAACCCAAACTTGATCGTAATTAGGTCAAACTTTCTACACAACATAAGTACCTGTATATGTATCAAAAAAATTTATAAAAATTGAAATTTTTTTCCTTTTCATTTTTGACAAAGTTTGACCAAAAACCCTGTACTATAGTACAGGGACTTTGGGCCCAATTTTGGAGTAACTTTAAAATTTGTAAAAAATCTAATTTTGATTCGAATCAGTTCAAAATTGTTAAATAATTTTTTTAGCTTTTTATTGAAACCATTTAAACAAAATACCAAGGACTCTAACCAACTTTTGATGCAAATTTTTTTACAAATTTGCATCAAAAATGCATTAAAAAGCTTGAGTATCATTTATTGTGTAAAATGCACCATTTTATATTATTTTCTATGTTTTTATTATAGTATAGCTAAATGTTTAGGTGCTTTAAAGGTCAGTAAAAGATCCTACGAGTGGCTCCAAAATAAAAATGTTATCTCGTGTGTAGTTCCAGACAAGGAAGCACTGAAAGCTTGTGTCTTTATGTCAGGTACATGAATAATTATATGCAAGTATATACAGTACAGCCTCTTGATGATATTCTTTATACTATTTCAATAAACAGCACCTAGTGTATCAACTACCAGTTATATTCCTTACTGTGTAAAATACCGTAAATCTGGTTATTTTCAATGGTTATAAAATACAAAAATACAGAATGGAAATTTAGGTGTTGGAAAATTTCATATGCTGCCTATTTACCCCAATACATTAATACGTTTAAAGGAAATAATTATTAGCAGTTCTAAATTTAGCATGCCTCATTGCATTACGAAAACTACCATCACTCGAAATACCATATAGCGCTTTAATTTGGTGATTGGCGGTTTGCAAACAGAATCCCCAATATTAAGACCACCAATCATTAATGCGCATGCTCAGTAATGCATGTGCCACAAAAACCACCAAATTAAAAACCACCAATTATAATTTTATAGCAAAATTGCCAAAATAAAGCGCTACCAAAATAAAGCGCTATACGGTATACCAGATTTACGGTGCCTTCTATATAAAGAATGCATCCGACTTTCTGCTGTTAATTTTTAAACTTAAAATTAAAAAAAATATACCCAAGTTTCCTCCTGTCTGCTGTTACTTAAAAATAAAAATTATACCCAAGTTTCCTCTTCATTTCTATCTCTCCTCTTTTTAGATTATCATGAAGTTCTTGTCCCTCCGGCCTGTGGGGCTGCTCTTGCTGCAGTAACTGATAAAAGTCTTATCCCTCGCCTCCAAGGTGAAGGAAAGCTTCCAAAAAGCTTAAGCAATGTAATAGTCATTGTCTGTGGCGGGAGTGGAATTAAATCTGAGAATATCAAGCAATGGAGAAACGACATAAGAGAAGAAAAGGATTGACTGTTTGATACTTAGTTGTGAAAGTCAATTTAAATTTTCAAAACTATTTTATATTTTGTACAATTATTTCATTTTGCAGTTAACAAATATTAAACCACTGTGTTAATCTTTATCTACATGTACTACTATGGTAACAGTAACTAATTGATGTAACAGAACTAGACTATACTGAAATATAGTGCATTATGTACTGCAATACTGTATCATCAAGTCCTAAACTCAAGTTGGTGGAGCATGAAATTTTTGTCACTCTGTTAACACCTTTAGAGGTGTGAACAAGGCCTTGTTCACACCTCCAAATTTTTTTAAAATTTTCTAATTTTTATTTTTTATCATTTAATTTTTATCAATTTTATTAATTTCTTATTCTATTTTATAAAAATGCATTTTTAGTTTTTTTGATGCTTCAAAAACCATATCCAATCCCTAAAAGAGGGACTTGGCTTAAAATGCTTTTAACTCTATAAAATATTAATCAATATTGTTCCAAACTAGCTTCTTAGTGTAAGCGCATTTGTGTTGCATAAATTTTTGGCTGCAAAAGTAGCCGCAAAATAATTTTAACAAGTGATAATAATAATAATAATAATATATATAATATATAATTTAAACACAAATAAGGATTAATGAATTAAAAAACAAAAAGAGATAATAGTAGTATTTATTAATAATAATAATAATAATAATGAGAAGTAACTAAATTGTTCTACCTGCAAAATTTAGTGTGGGGCAATCAAAAAATAAATGTACACACAAAGTTCCATTGGTGGTCAAAACAAAACAAAAATAATAAATGAAATAATGCGTAAACAACAACAACAACAACAACAACAACAACAACAATAATAATAACTATAATATATAATAATAATTAATATACCAGGCTAAATAATTAATTAATAATAATTGAATTAATTATTAAGGATAAGTCGTCGGACTCCAATGTCTTGTCGACTGCGTTGAAAAAGAGTCCGTGGGCGTATAACCAGCCCCTTGATCTATAGTGGTACCTGTAAGGGCCGTATGACGTCCTCCGGATGGAGGCAGATAAGGCATAGGTTGCAAGACTTGGACTGGAGTGTACTGATTATAAAGAGCAGGACGTGAGTGTATAGGAGACGTGGCTTGCTGATGGTAAGAAGTAGGCGTGGCCACATATTGGAAGTTGTGGGCGGTTCCCCCGGCTCCCGAGAGGTGAGAGAGCGGAGGCTGTTGGTAGCGAGAGGCAGAGGTGGAGGATGCATAGCTTTGGGTGTTGTAGGTTGTGTTTGTGATGGCAATGGGGGCCATAGGGATAGAGCGATAGACAGTGTCAGAAGGATAAAGTATAGGACCAGTAGCTGTAGAGGGGAGAGAAAGAGGGGGGAGGAGAGAGAGAGGGGGGAGGAGGAGGGGAGAAAGAGAGAGGGGGGAAGAGTGAGAGAGGGAGGAGGGGAGAGAGAGAGAGAGGGGGGGAGAGTGAGAGAGAAAGAGGGGGAGAGATAAAATAATGAATATCAAAAGACACTTCCAATTAATCACACACAGTCTGCCCACCCCCTCACACACGCACTGGTAAAATTCAAAGGAAAAGATCCAATTAAAACCAGTTCAAAAATGATGGTATGAATAACAACTATGGCTCAGTGTACAAGATGTGACATTTGATGTGGTCTGTTTTTAAATATTTGCATGCCACAATATCTCTGATTGAATCTATAAACTACGCCAAACACTATCAGGTATCGCTTTAGAGCTGCCACATAATCTTTCTACAATTACTAACTAGCATATTTTAAACGTTTTAGTACAGTAGCAGCATAGTAAACTTAATCTGCTTCTAGAAAAAGGCACAATATTGAAAAAGGCACAACATTTAGTTACTTACATCTAAAACTGTACATATATCTACTGAACTTAATGATGGCTCAAGTTAACATTACTGAAAGAGCTCAATATGTTTTATAATTTGAAAGCACTTCAAAATGTGTGTCATCAGTAGGATATAAGTATCATTAAACCTTATTAAGGACACCATTGGGCCCACACTACCTTTCCTTAATACATGTACAGTGTAACCTCTTTATTAAGGACACCATTGGGTCCACACTACCTTTCCTTAATACATGTACAGTGTAACCTCTTTATTAAGGACACCATTGGGCCCACACTACCTTTCCTTAATACATGTACAGTGTAGCCTCTTTATTAAGGACACCATTGGGCCCACACTACCTGTCCTTAATACATGTACAGTGTAACCTCTTTATTAAGGACACCATTGGGCCCACACTACCTGTCCTTAATACATGTACAGTGTAGCCTCTTTATTAAGGACACCATTGGGCCCACACTACCTGTCCTTAATACATGTACAGTATAGTCTCTTTATTAAGGACACCATTGGGCCCACACTACCTGTCCTTAATACATGTACAGTATAGTCTCTTTATTAAGGACACCATTGGGCCCACACTACCTGCCCTTAATACAGAGGTGTCCTCATTTCAGAGGTACTCTTGTATAGGCTTGTACTAACTAGGACATTACAAAATGTCATCATTATAAAGGTATGTGTCTTTATTTTATAAGCTACACTATAAAATTAACACTTGAATGCTGTCCTTATTATAAAAAATAAAAGCTTTAATGCAGGACAATGCAGGCTCCATTGTTCTTGACTACAAACATCATTAACTACTTAAGCTTTATCAACAAGTCTAGGTATGTTTGTATACAATATTTACATATTGCTGGTCATACGTATGTACATGTACATGTATAGTAAAACCAATGCTAACAAAAGAGTGTGTGTGGACAAGTGTATTCCAACAATGACTGGTATAACGTGATTATCGTTATGGAGTCTAGACAAAATAAGACATATCAAGTTTAACCTTAAGGACCACAGGTCAATAGAAATAAACCAGGTCTCCCTCTCTCTCTCCCTCTCTCTCTCTCTCTCTCCCTCTCTCTCTCTCTCTCTCTCTC